TTTTTGAATGACAAAAACTATGACGTAAATCTATTGACATTTTCGTCAACTAATAAAAATGAGACGAAAATGTTAGGGAGGGACGATTTGGGATGAGATTCATTCAGAACGAATCTACTGCGTGGCTCTGAGCTTATGCGTACATATGAACCGGCGGGACATAAGCTAACATACACTTGCTGCACGTCACATAAAACGTCCCAAAAAAATGTCAATATGTGGGAGTAAGAGAAGAGCAGACATATGGATAAATCTGACGACGCAAGAGAGAACCCAATTTGGTTCGGTTTTCTGAGCGCAGACACTGAAGCATACACACACAGGAAGCGCGTCTCACAGCGCATGAGTACTCTTTCGCATCGCATGAATGGAGAATTATACACAAAATAATGTCGAATTGTCCGTTTTGACGAGTATTCACGTAAACAGGGTTGATTACGTCTTAAGTGAACAAACAGTAGGGAGAACGTGTATCAGTACATTGCATCCATTGCAGCTGTGCATTCGGCTTTAAAGGGACAGCAGTCTAATTTAGCTGCTATTGTCCGAGTCATTGATGTTAATCAAGAAACAACAGAAAGACAGAAAATCACGCACTGCTCATCCATTGCAGCTGTGCATTCGGCTTTAAAGGGACAGCAGTCTAATTTAGCTGCTATTGTCCGAGTCATTGATGTTAATCAAGAAACAACAGAAAGACAGAAAATCACGCTCTGCTCTTGACTGAAAAACTTTAGTAGCCTTAAAGATTAATCTAAATGTATTTATAGAAATATGTCTGCTTGAAAGAGCAGAGCAGAGCCCCACCAAAATATTCACCCAAAACATAGACCTCTATATAAACTGAATAAATAATAAACTATAAATATATTCAGCATTCTGCAACAAATATTTTTTGGATTTTCTTGACAATTTTAAGTCAAAGTGTGCAGGATATTTAAAAAAATTCATTGCAAGCTTCGGCAGGCACGTAAAATGATACTAAGTGGGGCAGTCATGCCCTCCCGAACTCAACAGCGCCCCACACATTTTACACCGTAAATCTATGGTGAAAAGTGGAACTGCAACATGCTCTAATTGAGCACCGTTTGGGCAGTTTTTAGGCTGACCAGCTTATTTTCACGTTACCTTCTCTCGTTCCAGACCAAGACGACATCAGTCAGCTTCAGCTATGTGTGTCTGCATCAGGTCAGTAAGTAGCTGGCATGTCTGTTTTTCCTATGTGGAGTAGTGTTTCAGATGAATGAAAGTGTTAATCCTGTAGTTTAAATGTGCTCACGTGAATAGACTTTATATAGTTCTGTTGTGTTTGTTTTATGTGTGTTTTAAAATGAGATGTGATATTTGATTCCTCACTTAAATTTCATTACAACTTGTAACATTCTAAATCAACATTCAGAGACAATATTAAGGCAATAATTCTATAGCACTCTGTCTGTGTACTTCAGTCGCAAACAGAAGTTTGTTTTTCAAGGCACTTTTATTCCTTCATACACAAAGTGCAAAACGTTGACAATTCTATTTCTTGATGATTTGATATTCTATAATAGTGATTTTATAATTAAAAAATATAAAGCAAAAAGTAGAAATGAAGGACTAATAAGCCAATAGGTGCTCCTCTGCTGCCATCTACTGGTTATAGTAGTGACTTGATGTTTTTTTTGTTGTTGTTTTTTACATTAGTGTTTGTTTACCACAAACTGTATTTTGGAAAAGTGCTTGAATTTTTCTCTCAAAAGGTTGTACAAACCCTGAATGAATAATGTAATACCATTCCACTATTTCTGCACAAAACCATGGTTATAGTTAGCGTAGT